TTCGGTACTCTACTTGGCTTGCTCACATGTGGTCTCAGGTCGCTCCTGTTGGGCTGCTCCACCTTAAATGTCACCATTTTGCTTGCAACCTTGAGATGCAACATTTGAATGGCAATTCTCTCTTATAAAGAATATGCTATGGTTTAGTACTTGCCTTAAAATGTACTACACAGGTCAACAACTGTACGTCCCAAGTCCCAACCTTCAATTATTTTTTGAAATTTCAGTACCTCTGTGTACTCCTTATTTTCTTTCCTTGTACTGCCAAATGTGAAATGGGTCAAATTATTACAACATTACTTACATTTCATGATAACTCAATGGTATTACCTATCGTAGTTCAGTGGTCACTTGCTGTCTCAAAAGAGTAGTTCATGATTTGCATTCTCATGTTTCGGGTTCAATATTCTCATTAACACCACTAACATACTAACTTTTAACCATTGCTCTTATCACAAAATAATAATTCAATCGTACAAGAAACAGATATATAATAAATTTATGTACTCCACAGATTCCATCTGGAGGTACTCCAATAATCTAGCTTTCTATCTATTCGGTGTTTTGGTGGTGCGGAATGTGTCCTGTACTTCTCCAGTCCCTGCATCCACAAACTGCAACAAGAAAAAAAAAAAAAAGTGAAAACAATCATCTTGTGGTTTTTGGTTTTACAGCGGTGAAATTCATTGATACCTACCTCTAATCTCATTTCTTCCTGGGTTGCATGTGCTCTAAGGTAGCCAAACTCAGAAATCCTTGACAAACTCCAACTTGGAGCCTGTAAGAAGATGATTAAACGTAAAAGGTTATAATGTTTGAAAATCATAAAGAAATACTGACATTCGACATGTATTGGCCGCTTACATTGTTTGGAAACTTGTCCAGGGTAAAGCCAGCCATTCCTACAACTGCTTGCACAGGAGCAGTGTAGTTGTTATGGTCATATGTGTCTATCCCATTTGCATCTTTTGTTGGCATTGCCAGGCATTGAGATTTGTAAATGGAACATGTTCTCTCATAGTTATGAACATGACCAAAAAGAACCAGATCAACCTACACCACATTTTCCCCAAATCATTCATGTCGCAACTAGATATAACAATGACGAACCCTAGAACTAATTTGATTGGCATTGAAGCCATTGAAGCTTACCTTGTTTTCCTGCAGCAATGGTTCTACATCCTTCACAAAATTATTATCGACACTAAAGAGTCCATCTGTGGAAGTATACATTGGTCTATGCCTGCATTTTGCAAAATGTTGCATCACAAGACATGTTGAAAATCTATTAAACACAACATCAATACAAACTTAGTTACCCCATAAAAATTAGCCAAGGAGTTCTCGATCGATCAACTGAAGCCATATCACTTTCCATCCATCCATACTGTAAAAGAAACAAACATGAACATGAGAGGTACATATGGGGAAAATTGTCCCAGAAGGCTAGGCTTAAGCCTTTACCTGTTCAGAATTTTCTGACCAGTCATGTTCTGTGGACATGATTGTGAAGTGAATGCTTCCTTGTTCAATGGAGTACCATGGTTTATCCTTTGCGGGGGTTGGCATAGGGAAATATGTTTCATAAGGAACCCCACATTCTCCACCCGAGTCAGGAGTAATGTACACTGAACCTGTACCTACATAATCCCTAAAAATGAATAGGACTTTTAGATTCAACCATTTGTCCGTACATTGAGGCTTTGTTTGGATTAGTTGTTCAGATATATTCCCAGACATCTATGTTCAGTTGTTTAGGGTCAACAACACACCCTATCTCTAGTAGTCAAAATAAATACTTTCTAATTTAAGGAGCGGTTATGGTCACTTACCATTTTGTTAAAATCACTTAATTTTATTTAATTTGATTGTTAAAAATAATTGATAAAATCATTAATATTTATTATTTAAAAAGCTAAAATTAATTTGTTAACTGATATTTTCAGATGTTATAAATAATTATTTAAAAAAAATTATAAACAGATAAAATATCAATCAAACTAAATAACTTTTAAATAATCTTAACAAAATAATGAGTGATTATAACCACACCCCCTAATTTAGGGTGAGAAATTATTTACCGTTCATGGTTTCCAATTGCAGTCATGTAAGAGACCCTGGAAGCCAGAGGGGATATTAGTTGAAGAAAGTAATCCCATTCAACTAAGAACCCCGTTGCATAACTTATGTCTCCGATGTGGAAAATTGAGTCTACATTGCCATTTCCCACTTCACCAACCATGGCTTTTACCACTGACAATGACCCTGGCTGCATGAATCACAAAATTTTCACCTTGAAAATTTCATTTTGTTTTCAGTAACAGGGTAATTGCACTGTTTTGGAGCTTCATACCTGAATATAGTGCTCGGTAGAAGGGTCAAGAGGGGCCTTTCCCATATCACCGTACACTAGAAATTTTAGTTCATCTGATCCTCCAGCGGGTGGAGTCTGGAATTGGATTTGGTCACTCCAACCCACTGAATCACTGAATCATACAATAATATGAAAAATTAAGACTCTATTCAAGAATTAACAAAAATTACAATCAAGTTCGCTATGTCTATGTACATATATACCTTCCATATCTGTAGGACAAGCTGCTTGAAGGCTCTAGTCCTGTCATGACTGCAGTATGAATGTAGCCAGGGTCATGCCACCCAAAATCCTTAGCTGGACTTGGTAGAACAGGGTCACCTATCATTTAGAAAAACTCGAGACATAACTTTAAAGAGAAGAAAGGGTTTTAAGATGTATTTACTAACCAAAAAACTTAAACATAAAAACTCAGAATCTAGAAAGGATTGACATTAATGGCGAATACACATATCCTTAATGCACATAGAACTCACTGCACATATCATCTTGTGAAAATGTAGTAACTTCCGATGTCTCTGATTTTCCACCTCCATATTGAACTTCTTGAGGCTTGTTATCCCCACTAACCCATGTTAACCTCATCTGCACCACCACCAACCTTCAATCATTCTCCAATCGATATATAACCCGAGAAATCATTTTCTTGTTCAATCAAAGCTGAACATTTAAAACACTATACATATGTTGTACCGATGTTCCAGTTGAATCAATGCTGGAGAGGTGTCCATACAACGGCTTGTTTGGATTGGCAAAATTCAGGTTGTCTGTCCTCGTGAGAATGCAAGGAGTATCGAATCCACCGGCGAAGAACACAAACTGGATGTCGGTTCTGATGTTGATGACATGGAAGCTTATGGTGCCATTGCAAGTTGTCACCTTACACTTACCTTTGTTGTTGTATTTCTTGCATTCCTGATTCTTGCAACTTAGGTAGTTTGGATCATTGCTCACAAACTGCGCCTGTAATTTCAGACAACAGTTGAAGACTTGAAGTTGAGCACTTACAAATTAATATTAAAATTTATATGTATTTGTATGAATGCAAGATAGAAATTTTAATCTGGTTCATGGACATATATTATTTAAAAATTGGAAACAAAGGAACAAAAATTAGATCAAATCCCACAAAATTAATTAAATTCCAAAGTCAAAACTCAAACAACCATCAAAATTAAGTAAGCACTTCTCCACATCATGATAATTAAAGAAATTATTTGAATATTTAGAATATATATACCATGGAATAATTCCATGTTATTCCCTTATTTGAATATATTGACATTCAGAATATTGGTTGAAAAAATTAACTTATAAGTTAGGTCTCTCCTCATCATGAATCATATAATCCAAGTATATGCTTTAACCAACCGTGCCCGCTTCTGGTTTCTTGACCTATATGTAAACTTAATTCCACATGGGTTATAATTTGTTGTTTTCTGTCTTTGTTGTGTTCATTGAAAAGAAAGAGTGTCATGTACATGTTTTTCATGTCAGATATATCACACAATAAAAATGTAGTTCGAGTATTAAAATTATTAAAATGTCATTAGTAAAATAATTTAAACAATTTCATTAAAGTTATTCAATAAATTTTACAATTTAACTTGAAAAATATTTTTTTAATAAAAATATTATATAATTTAAACCACACAATTTAATCCATTAAATGGAATGGCTCTATAGTTTTGGTGGTTGTTCCTTCCCATTCAATGATTGAGTGCAATACATGAAATTCTTTTTTGAAAAGAACTGCACAAAGATTAATTTATATGAAATCATGTTGATGATGAATTTATGACATGCTAAAATTACCTTTTAACAGTTTACTAAAAAAAAAAAATTTACCTTAACAGGATAATGGCAGAGGAGAGGAAGGCTGCTAAGATCACCCGTCTGAACATAATAAGCCTCACTCAGAGGACAGCTTGAGACACTGCATATATATTTCAGATGTCATGCATGATAGAAGTTAAAACTAAAAGAACAATTTCTTAGAGTTCGAAATTTTCAAGTTTTAGAGATCTTTAGTTCAATAAATGTTGGATACAATCAAAGAGAGGATTGAGAAAGAAGGAAAACATCCCCATCCTATCAGTATATAATAATATTAAATGTTAAATGTGAATAGAATCTTATTTTTCGACATAATTAAGGCTAAAAAAATGTCTT